GGTTTCTCTTTTTTTTTTTTTTTTTTTTTTTTTTTTTGGGGGGGGGGGGGTGGTATTTTGCCTTTACTATGTCTTGCCAGAATACAAACCATGGCTCAAGCAAACTCGCCTGACATGCTGCCAAGGCATGTCAAAAAGGTACCACTAGGTATGATAACTGGCCAGTACCTTTTGCACGTATGGGGTATAGGCAGCACACTTCTTGCAATCACTAACGCTAAACTCTTTACATTCTTCATGAGTAAAGTAATCACAAACTGCAAAGAGAGAAACATATCAACTACCTTTTGCAGTAAATCAGAAAAACTAGTTTGTTAAAGACTACTAAAAAACTATTTCTACTCTAAGACTGCAGTTACAAAAAAAAATATACTCAACCTTGATTTAGTGGGACGACACAATCATGGCTCACTAAAAGTGCTGTCTGGTTGTCTGGAACAAATAGATTTTTCCATGGAGCAAGTAACTTTTAATGTCCCCTTGCAGGACAAACAGAGGCCCAGGAAGTCATTTGCCAATTAAGTCATAAAAAGGGAAACAAAATGTATTTTTCCCAGGCAAGCAAAATTTCAGAGTTACTTATTTGAAGGGCAAGTTCCAATTCAAATTTTTTTCGAGCTCTGCACAATGAATACAGTGTACCTTGACATCTGAATGCTACATGTTCATCCAGTCTTTTCCGGCAAACGCAACAGAATCTTCTCCTAAAGAACGAGGGTCCACTCCAACTATGGGCCACAGGATCCTGTGTTGTCAAAATAGAGGCAAGAAATATTTCTTATCTGAAAAATCAAGCAGTCTGGGGTTCAAGCCCTGGCCGAGGACACCGTGTTGTGCTCTTGCACAAGACACTTTACTCTTGTGCAGTGCCTCTGCTACTCTCCACTCCATAAATGGGTACTGCCAAATTCAATGCTGCCAGGGGTAACCCTGCAATGAATTAGCACCGCATCCAGAGGGGAGTAGAAATACTCCTAGTCGCTTAATGCTACAGAAGCTGTATTGGCCACTGGCCTATTGCAGGCTTTAACTACATGACAGTTGTACATGTAGCTATTACTGACACAACATTCTGAAACTCGCCAAGTTGAAACAAAGGGAATTTACGACCATGACAGTGGAATTGATTATCACAAAATTTGATGATTTTGTTTCCTGTTCCCTCTTATATTTCAACAACAACAAGAACAACAGCAACAACAACATCTTTATGTTTCTCTTGATGAATATAAATATTATAACACTTTTAGTTTATTTCATATACGTAGCAAGTATGTTTTAGATGAGGTAACTGTTTCCAGTGAGGTGAGATACCAAAAACTCAAAACACTGTTTCATCACATTTACACAATTTGACAAAATTTAAATAATGGCACCTGTCAAACTTTCAGCTCTCTCCTCTGTGCTTGGAAATGTGATGGCAAAGCATTGCCAGTATGTACAGGTATTTGTCATATTGTTATATAATAAAATGGTGCTTTACCATAATTTCAAGCAGATCTAATATAGATCTAGACTAAAGGCAATACAACTGGTACACATGCTTAACTCACCAAGTCTCTATGTAGCACCCAGTTGGAATGAAGGTAGTGGATGCCATCCAGGATCTGATAAAGCAAAGACTTCACCATTCCTTTTGGAACAGGGACAGCTTTCTTTTGGGCTTTAGAGGCTCGGTGATATTTGATAATGTGCTACATGAGAGGAATAGGCAATTTTCATAGTTAAGTACATGTAGGTGTATTTAATTTAATAGTAATGCAAAATTCACAAGGCCAGTATATGAGCTGCAGCACATCCTAACTTTGAATCTGAAACTGAAATCTAGAAAATTATTTAATAGCTTGCATCTGGGAATGTCTTGCTCTGGAAGATGCTTGCTATTGATGTTTCTTTGTTTTTGTATTCAAATAAAAGCACCAAAATTTTGCAGCACGACTACTCAAACCGAGCCACTTTCATGTGGCTCTCTCGTGTTGGCAAGAAATAAGGGTCTGCTTGACATGAAAATTAATTAACTTAAAGAGAGTCGCTTGGGTTTTGCTTGCTAGTTATTGCTAGTAATACTGCTGTTATTGGACCTAGCCTTGGCTGGTAAAAAAAAAAATTTGGCTAATAACATTTAAGTGGTCATTAGCCACTAGGCTAGTAAGTTGAAAAGTTAGTGTCAAGCGCTGACTCTTTTTCATGCCAACCCTCAATTCTAACCCAGAGTATATCATTGTTGCTGTCATAACATTGTTGACGTATCCTGAGTGTAGCTTCAGCAGTATGAAGAGATTGAAAACTCCTTAACAAAGTATCATAAAAGACAGAAGATTGAGCTCTTTAGCAATTCTGCACATTCACAAGCACATGGAAGTTGACACTGATAATGTTATAACAGAGTGACAGTAATGCCTGTATGAAGGGTAGACGTTTTGCCCTTTAAACCCTCTGTTTATACTGTTGTTTTACCCCCTGTTTTTGTAGCTTGCCGAAAACTCTAGAGATGTGTAAAATAAACAACTAATCAGTGCATTTTCCCCCGCATTTGCTTACTGAAATGTCCCTCAGAAATTGCAGGATATGGCATTTCCGAGACCCCAGATTTCAAAATTTTCTGGACGAGCATGCCCAGATCCCCCTAGTTTGCAACGCCTTTGGCGCTTGAAATTATTTTTCTTCTTGTGCGTAGACCTTCAAAATCTCAGGCTACGCCCCTGAAATCAGGGCCACTGTACAGTTACATGTGTAAAATGTACATTCTAGGAAAATGTAAATCTATCAATCCCATGCAGTTCTGGTCATAAAGAAAAGGCATCATGTAGGGCAACTGGTAGGTCGTGGAAAAAAAAGTCAAATTTTGCAGGATTTTCAGGGACGAATTCGCGAAAAAAAGGCCGATTTCGCAGGAATTTCGCAGGAATTTTGCAGGAATTTTCAAGGCTACATGACTGAAAAATGATCAGTAAAAAACGGCAGATTTTGCAGGAGTGTTCTGGGCAAATTTCACTGGAAAGCAATTGGTTTTGTGCTGATTTGAGGAGAGTTTTTAATGAAACTAAACACTCTTAGAACATTTACTCAGGCTTCGTACCGCAATATAAAATTGCACTTTACAAAGCTTGTTGAACACAATAAAAACAGATTAAATAAGAAAAACAGGATATTTAAAACACAAGAGTTATGCTTAGATGTTTACTATTCAAGTTGCTTCATTGAATATCTTCTTTATCCAATTGCATGTTGTTTGCCTCATCTTCGAAGTTCTGTTCTATTTAGGTTTTGCTTTATGTTTAACCACGAGGCAGGTGACCACGAGGTTATTTTTAACAGAAAACATTATTTGCTCTTTTAACAACAGTGCGCTCTAGAAATGCGCCAATGACAAAGCTTTTTACATCGTGGCTGCTGCCCAGTTTTTTGCAACATTAATCTAAGAACACCTGGCAGTTTTGGGATGTTGTTTACTCATTGAAGTGACGAAGTTTCAAGGTAATTTAGCAAGTTTACAGCAAGTAAGCAGCCCCAACAGCCAAGATAACTTTCAAACATGTTGTGCCGACGAGTATTTGGTATGATTTCTAGCGAATTTTGTGGGATTTCGCAGATTTACTTGAAATTTGCGGCTCTGCAACTGCGCGAAATATCAGAAGCCCTGATCATGTTAACTCAACACATTTTTGTTTTCAAATCACATACACAATTCAACAATCTAATACATGTATGTATGTGCACTGTAATTCAAATAATCATGATGTACAGTGTAAATGCTAAACGCTTCACTTTAAATACCTTGTACTGTTTTTCTTACAAAACTTTACAAGAGTTTTACATGATCACAAATTTAGGTTTAATACACAAATTTCTCCTTGACAAGTAACTACTCACCCAGAGATCATGCTCTGCAAAATCAAAAAGGAGCCAAACTTTGCGATCAGCATGAGAAAGGAACACACGTTGTAATGCAATCACATTTGGGTGCTTCAGTTCCCTCAGAAGCTAACAAAAGAGAGTGCAAAAAGAATTATTTTAATAACAAGTTCAGTGCATACTTGTAAACTGTATATTCTGTAGTTAGATTTAGTGATAGACATGTACATTGTAACAACTAATTACATTCATTTGTAGATCACTTAAACTTGCACAGTAAATATAAACATGACAAGGCTTCAGTCCACTTTAAACATAAAAGGCAACATCGATTTCAATCTTGAGCTTTTCCACTGCTACTTACAGGAGATAATTTTATTAGACTAAATCTCAAAATTGTTTTCTACTTCCTCAGAACCAAGGGAGAAGTCTGCTTATAGGAAATTATGTATTAACTACAGTTCAGTGAGGAAACTACCAATGAGTGAAATTCCTTAGTGCATGTACAGTATGACTTTCAAAGCTCAACATTCACTATATTCTTCTTCATCACTGCACACGATGCTTTCAATATATAATTATTTTACTGATCCTATCAGAATGCCAGATATCCATACAGTACATTGTACATGTAGGTGACATGTCTGATCACTTTGCAAATTAAAGTGCAGTCCATATGAAGCTCACAGCCAGAAGATATGACAAAATTTTGAAGCAAGCATTATTATTAATTATATGTAGTTAAAAATGTAAGAATCCACACTGAAGATCTTCAACATAATACACCCATCAATGTTAAGCCACAGGGTTTGGGGGTGGGCTATCCATGGGAAATTGACTTGGTACTGAGCCTTCCTTTGTGTTAGGAATTCAGTTGATGAATCCTGTCTGTCTGACAGAAATAAGTTACCTGAGGGGTAGAAATTTGGCATTTACTTGGCATCCATGGGTGAGGAATTTGACTCTGGCTTCTTTGAAAATGTCAAATTCCCTAGGTCAGCCCACCCACCCCTAACCCTGAGGCTTAAACATGAAACAAGCCTATATAACAAGGCCAAGGTATTCAGCCTGCCAATCACAAATCCCAATGGGTGACCAATGCTCCCATTTGATGGTTTATTCACTCGGGTCTAATTTTAGTGCATACCAAGTTGCCACAACTTTCTGGAGAGTGGTTGGGTGTAATTTTCTGTTTTGTTTTAGAAGTAATCAATACCTTTTGAACTAAACGAACGATAGCTTCAGGAGAAGATTTTAGAAAGATAATTGATTTTCTTATTATTATTATTTCACCTTTGTAATTTTGTTTTTCCACCTGCAAAAGCATATCATATGTTTTCACGCTGTTTACTCAAACAAACCCATATAAGCTCATGTAAGGGAGTACCTCCCTTCCCCCTGGGCTGATCATCTAGTAAATGGCCCAGCTCAGAAGCTTTGTAATCTGGATGGTCTTTTGCCAGCCTTAGGTTTGATTCAGTCAGATGCAAGAGATGAAATTAATTAAAGAAAACTAAGCCAGGAGTTCTTGGTATGATTTATACACCTGTCAAATATTATACTATCAGAACTATCCGTAATTAAAAATGTTTAGAACTGTAAAGTGTTTCAATAGGTAAAAAGAGGTAACGTGGCAATTTTTTTTTTGTACCGACGGTACTTAATTAAATTACGAACAAACATAAGCTAAGACTTAAGCAAAAAGTTCGAAAAAAAATACTAAAGATCTGTTAAGCTTAGGCTTACATGTTATTGTACATGTTTAACTTATTTAAGCTTAAATTTATTCGTATACTTTAAAATGTGATAATTCCCTATACTTACTGCTATCTCGCGGCATGCTGACATCGAGATACCGGTCCCTTCAATCTGCTTGAGAGCGAAGTATTTCCCATTTGGACTTCGATGAAAAATAAATAAAAACACAGAACATTGAGTGACAATAAGCGCGGAAGCTACATGCACACAATCGAACGAGTTCAACAGAACTGTATTTCACACACCAGTCTTTTTGTTTCGCCTTGTAAACATGTCCATAAGTTCCTCGGCCTACTTTGCAGCCTTCAAAGTCAAATTTATCTTCAACTCGTTCCCTTTGCTCGTTGGATTTAAGTTTGAATTCAAAATCCATGACAAGAAAACAAAGCCTTCTTTCAGGAACCGGCCGCCATGTTGAATTGACGATCACCCTCGTCTTGGTGACCGCTAGTTTCCAGTCTCCGCCTCAGCGTGGGGCTTTCGGTCGGTGGGCCAGCGGACGAAAGAAACGTGGAATGACAGCTCCTTTTCACTAACACGATTGATTACAGGCCCCAATATTATAGCACCTGTGTTCCGTTTTGTCAACAAAGGCATACACGAAGTAAAAGGTTTTAAATGGTAACGATTGTAGTCTTTGGAAGGGAGCGAAAAACATTCGAAACACCGTACCGACAGAGAGAAAATTAACTACTATGCGATTCAATCGAGCTCTACCCTCCTTTAAACTTGCAGGACATCTAAGGGTTTTTTTCCCTTCGTGGTTTAATGAAAGTCCTTTGTGTCCATTTCTCTTAACTACATAACGTGCGAAAATGAATGAGATCCACCACCCACTGAGACAGTTTAAATGAACATTTGCCTTTTTTGGGTAACAATAACAAACAAGGAATAAAACACAAATAGCGGTGATAAACATATTAAACT